AAACCTAAATAAAACCAGGAAAAAGAATAACTATAATAAAGAAAAAATCAAAATCAACAAGCAACAATAAACCAGAGACACTCTATGAGGGTGGAGGGGAGAGGAAGGACTGGGGTCAAAATAAGGAAGGTGCAATTGTATGGGGAATATAACCTAGATGAAAAAATAACCTACAAACTGAAAAAAAAATAGTGGAAATAAAAGCATACTGAGTACAGTTTTTTAGTATGCTACTTTTTTATTAATTTTTTTCTTACATCATTGTAGTCCCCATAGTTCTTCTGACACCTTATCACTCATGAACCATTATCACATCATATTTCCTTGTGTTCTTTCCTTCCTATTTTGCCCCCATCCTGCCCCCTCCTTTGCTGTATGCCTCAGTTCTATGGTCAGATGGCTAGTTTTGACTTTTTCCTTGACCTTTCATTTGTTTTTTACATATTCCACATATGAGTGTGACCATCTGGTATTTATCTTTTTCCTTCTGATTAATTCAACTAGCATAATCCCTTCCAGTTCCACCCATGTTTCTGCGAATGGCATGTTTGTCTTTTTTGGATCACTGAGCACTATTCCATTGTATAAATACATCACAAGTTTTTGATCCATTCATCTATTTGGGGGCATTTGGGTTGCTTTCAGATCTTGGCTATTATAAACATAGGAGTGCTACAATAAACACAGGAGTGCAGTGTTCCTTTCAAATTAGTGTTTTTGTATACTTTGGGTAGATCCCTAGGAGTGGAATCGCTGGATCATATGATCAATTTTTACTGTTCTCAGGAACACCCACACAGCTTTCCATAGTGGCTGGACCAGCTGACATTCCCACCAGCAGTGCAAAAAGATTCCTTTATTTCCATATTATCTCCAACATTTATTGTTTCCAATTTTTTTTGAATGTGGGCCATTCTTACTGGAGAGAGCTGGTATCTCGTTGTGTTTTTGATTTGCATTTCCCTAATAACTAGTGATGTTGAATATTTTTTTCATATTCCTGTTGTCTATTTAGCATACTACTTTTTGTATAATAAGGAAGGATTTTGAATAGCTATAAGCATTTGTTTTTTAAAATAATGGAAACATAAAAAGAGATGTAATCTTGTCATTTGCAGCAACATAAATGGAAATAAATTGAAATAAATTAAAACGAGAAAGACAAAATACTTGATGATTTCACTCATTTCTGAATATAGAAAAACAAAAAAGGAATAGAGAAAACTAAAGGAAACAGAACTGCAGAATTGAGACTTCTGCGGGGAGGGCATCTGGAGAACACCAATGGACCATGGTAGAAGATTATGGGTGCTTTATTGGGTGGTAACATACATCTGAAGAGGTGTGAACCTATTCCCCTAAATCATAGACCAATGTTACCTCAATTAAAAAAAAGTTATAGAATGAACATAATGGAAGCATAAATCCAAAAACTAATAGAAATAGTTATAAAGAAGGAATAGACTTTTCTCAGTGTACCTCATTTTAAATTTTTATTTGTGACTTGGTAAATGTTATTTTTTTAAAGATTTGTTTATTTATGCATGCAAGAACAGGGGTACAGGCCAGAGGTGCAGGGGTGAGAGGATTCACCAGAGACAGAGGGGAACAGAACAGGCAGACTGACGAAATACACTGCTGAGGGGAGCCGCGGGCGAGTCAGAAGAGGTCTGCTGCACCATATGGGTAGCTCCTTGGCTGGGGATCAAACTCGTGCTGCAGTGGCCGTGGACAGCTTCATAGGTTGCGTCTTAACTGCTTGAGCCACTAGGGAGGCCCGACTTGGTAAATGTTATTTAAAAAAGATTAAATAAAATTCAATACAATCTCTAAAATTAAAAAATGAACAAAAGCTAATTTAATATCAAGGTGGCAACATATTTACACTGAATACAGTTATTTCACATTCATTGAAGACAATATTTTAGGAAATATCCTAAAGGCAAAAAGAACTTTAAAGAAACTTAAATTGTGTTCAGTAGTCTTATTAGTGTTCATATATATTTTTAAATTTTTGGTACTATCATTTATTTATATGATTTATCATATTATTAGGAGTCAGGTTTTCAGCCCAAGAGAGCTGAAAATATAAAAAATAAAATAATAAAATCTTTACATTTGAATTGAAATGATTAGTATGAATTGTGACTTACTCTTCTCTCTCTAAAGAACACATATTTAATAGCTCTATTCACTGTGACCTAAGAACAATGACAAGCCAGTAGCAAAGCCCAGGTTGTGTTCTCCAAACATCATTTCTCACTAGAAAGAACCATAACATCTTAGAGAAATGTCTAATTCTTATCCTGACAGGAATGTACAAGTTGAGTTTGTCGTATTTTTTGTGCGCAAAGCAAGAAAGGGCTCAAACACCAATGGCATCATGTCAAATGAACTGGAATCAACCTCCAGGGACTTCTAATTGGCCGAGAAAAGACTATTTGAGAATTTGCAAAATTTCTTTTTTTAATCGTTTCTCTTCTCTGCAGATACTGATGAAAAGTTAAGTCAGCAAGCCAAAACCAGAAGCCTGTTATGGTAGACAGAATAATGGAACTCCAAAAATGTCTAATCCCTGAAAGCTGTTACATTACTTAGGAAAGAGGAATAAAAATTGAGATAGATTTAAGGATTATCCAGTGTGCCCAATATAATCATCAAAGTCTATAAATGTAAAGACATGGCAAAAGAGAAGGTTAGAATGATACAATGGGATAAGAACTAAACCATTTGCTCTTGGTTTAGAAGATGGAATGGGACCATGTTTTGAGGGATGTGAGTGGCCTCCAGAAACTGGAAAGAGCAAGAAAACAGATTCTCCCTTTCAATTCTCTGCTGAACTCATTTCAAAATTCTGGTTTTCAGAACTGTAAGATTTGATTTGTTTTAAGCTTTCATGTTTATGCAGATTTGTTGTGGCTGTGATAGGAGACTAATACAGATGTTTGTGGCAACAAATTGAAAAAAAAAAAAATCACTCTACTGATGATCCAGTGGATTTGGTGCCTCAAAGGTATGAAGACAGTGGAATTCTAAGCTATCAATCTGATGGTGGCCTTGTCGTTACTAAACATGAAATGCGGTGCACACGTAATGATGCACTAGCTGACAATAGCATTGGTGAGAAATCATTCTTTGCAGATACCAAATTAAAGGGTAGATGGAGCAAAGGAGTTGAAGACATTATTAAGGATATCAGATACAACTTGAGTCTTAGAAGCAGGACCAGCTTTTACAAGGAATTCCTGTATGTTCTTAATGCT